GTGGACGTTGCGGTATGAACGTTGTGGTGGAACGTTGTGTGAACGTTTTGGTGTGAACCATGGGCAGGCCCGGGTAAAACTACGTGGCCGGGAGTCAGAGCCTTTCCCTGTACACCTTTGGGTGCGACAGGGATGTCCTCTGGCTCACACATTATTTAACATCTATTTTGACCGCGTAGTTCGTGAAGCCTTCAATAGCTGTACCGGGGGAATTTCCATTTGGTACAGATATAATGGGAGGCTGATCGATGCCCGGGTGCGATCAAGGGATGGCTCCCTATTGGTCAACCACGTTATGTATGCCGATGATTTGGTAATAGCTGCTCATTCAGAAGAGGAGTTGGAGACGCTGCTGCTGAGACTGGAGCGTGCCACTAAAAGGTGGGGCCTTACCATCAGCCCCACCAAAACTAAGCACCTGCCTGGGTATTTTGTACAATCGGACACTCCACCCCCACAACTCCCAATTGGTGATGGGGCAGTTGTGGAGAGAGTGGAGAGTTTCACATACCTGGGCAGTGTGCTTATGACCGGCTCCAGTTTATCAGCAGAGGTCTCACTCCGAATCAGTCGAGCGGCAATATCTTTTCATCGGTTGCGTAACGCTGTGTGGAAGCTACCTGGTCTGTCACTCCGCACGAAGCTTCAGGTCTTCTCGGCCACGGTCATTCCCTCCCTTCTCTACGCTTGCGAAACGTGGACCCCCCTAGTGGAGCATCTTCACCGGTTGGAAACATTTAGGCTGGCCTGCCTACGATCCATCCTGGGTTTAACCAGGCTGGATTGTGTGAGGAGCTCACAAGTCCTTGAAAGATCTGGGCAAAGTCCCATCAGTGAGCTCCTCCGGCAGGCAAGGCTACGTTAGCTGGGTCATGTAGCCCGCATGCCCAGCCACCGCATGCCTAAACAGCTTTTGTCGGCCGGATCGAGGGGGCTAAACGGGCGCGGCACGGGCTAGAGAAGAGATGGAGTGATGTGGTACAGGAGGACGTGGAGCTGAGTGGACTTGCCGATGACTGGTACCAGCAGTGTCAAGATCGGCCTCAGTGGAGGAGGCTCGTGAAGGACGCTACTGGGCAGTTGGAGGCAGTCGCCCTCCAACAACAACGGAGGGCGGAGGAGCGACGCTCACAACAACGAGCGGAGCGCCGGGTGGCTAAAGCACAGCAAGTTGGTACAGTAGGGGGCACAGGTGGTGCATCAGCCAGTCATCTCGGTCATCTCGGTCAGTCGATCCGTGGCACCTGGGTCTGCCCCGTGACCTCCTGCCAGCGGGCGTTCGACACTTCACGTGGCCTCAAGGTGCACTTGGCCTGGCACAAGCATCGTGGTGACGTCACCGCCACTTAGTGGCGATTGGCGGTTGTTGTTGTTGTTGTCTATATGTATGTGTGTCTATGTGTGTGTGTGTCTATGTGTGTGTGTGTCTATGTCTCTATGTGTCTATGTGTGTGTGTCTATGTGTCTCTGTGTCTATGTGTGTGTCTATATGTCTATGTGTCTATGTATGTGTATGTGTCTATGTCTATGTGTGGGTCTCTGTGTGTCTAGGCACGGTAGTGGACGATGTTTCCCCGTCTGGTCGCTGCGTGCCGCTGTCCAACTGCTCGTGCGAGTTCAACGGCAAAGTGTACCGCGCCGGAGCGGTGCGCACCTCACCCTGCCGCAAATGGTGAGGACTCGCTCACCACTCACTCACCACTCACTCACCACTCAGTCAGTCACTCACCCACTCACTCAGTCAGTCAGTCACTCACTCACCACTCACTCACAACTCACTCACAACTCCCTCACCACTCACACTCACCACTCACTCACACTTACTCACCACTCACTCACCACTCACTCACAACTCACTCACCACTCACTCACCACTCACTCACACTCACTCACCACTCACTCACCACTCACTCACCACTCACTCACCACTCACTCACCACTCAGTCACTCACTCACTCACTCACCACTCACACTCACTCACCACTCACACTCACTCACCACTCACTTACTCAGTCACTCACTCACTCACTCACCACTCACACTCATTCACAACTCACTCACCACTCACTCACCACTCACTCACCACTCACTCACCACTCACTCACAACTCACTCGCCACTCACTCACTCACCCACCCACTCACTCACTCACTCAGTCAGTCAGTCACCCACTCACTCACAACTCACTCATAACTCACTCGCCACTCACTCACTCACCCACTCACTCACTCACTCAGTCAGTCAGTCAGTCACCCACTCACTCACAACTCACTCACAACTCACTTAACACTCACTCACCACTCACAACTCACTCACCACTCATTCACCACTTACTCACCACTCACTCACCCACTCACTCACTCACTCAGTCAGTCAGTCAGTCACTCACTCACCACTCACTCACCACTCACTCACCACTCACTCACACAAAGTGTACCTGGCCGGCGAGATGCGCTCATCACCCTGCCGCTCACCACTCACTTACCACTCACCTCACCCTCATCACTTACTTCACCCTCACCACTAACTCACCTCACCCTCATCACTCGCTCACCTCACCCTCATTACTCAATCACCTCACCCTCACTACTCACTCCTCTCACCCTCACCACTCACTCACTCACCACACTCACTCACCTCACCTTCACAACTCACTTACCACTCACTCCCCTCACCCTCACCACTCACTCACCGTCCACAACTGTGTTTGTCTGCTGCTATAAATGTTCCACGTAATGATGATGATGCCGATGATGATGTCAGCCACTCGGCTGAGCTGCTGTCGTTAGTGAGAAGCCACGTGGTGGTGGAGGTGGTGGTGGTGGTGATGGAGGTGGTGGTGGAGGTGGTGGTGGTGGTTAGTGAGAAGCCACGTGGTGGTGGAGGTGGTGGTGATGGAGGTGGTGGTGGAGGTGGTGGTGGTGGTTAGTGAGAAGCCACGTGGTGGTGGAGGTGGTGGTGATGGAGGTGGTGGTGGAGGTGGTGGTGGTGGTTAGTGAGAAGCCACGTGGTGGTGGAGGTGGTGGTGATGGAGGTGGTGGTGGAGGTGGTGGTGGTGGTGGTGGAGGTGGTGGTGGTGGAGGTGGTGGTGGTGGTGGAGGTGGTGGTGGTGGAAGTGGTGGTGGTGGAGGTGGTGGTGGTGGTGGAGGTGGTGGTGGTGGTGGTGGAGGTGGTGGTGGTGATGGAGGTGGTGGTGGTGGAGGTGGTGGAGGTGGTGGTGGTGGTGGAGGTGGTGGTGGTGGTGGTGGAGGTGGAGGTGGTGGTGGAGGTGGTGGTGGTGGAGGTGGTGGTGGTGGTGGAGGTGGTGGTGGTGGGGTGGTGGTGGTGGTGGAGGTGGTGGTAGTGGTGGAGGTGGTGGTGGTGGAGGTGGTGGTGGTGGTGGTGGAGGTGGTGGAGGTGGTGGAGGAGGAGGCTCGTCTGGAGCTTCACACCTCAGTGGGGCCTTACCTCGTAGCTCGTAGTTCAGTGTTTAGTTTAGTATAGAGGTTTAGATTGTAGTTTAGATTGAATTTTAGTGTTTAGTTTAGTATAGAGGTTTAGATTGTATTTTAGTGTTTAGTTTAGTGTATAGTTTAGTATAGAGGTTGAGATTGTAGTTTAGATTGTAGTTTAGTGTTTAGTTTAGTATAGAGGTTTAGATTGTAGTTTAGATTGTAGTTTGTGGGGGCCGTTGGCCCCCGGGGTCTCCCCCGCCTGCATCCCCTATTCTGTTTACGTTACCCCACCACCCTAATACCCGCTAGGGTTTCGCCGGCCTTCGAACGCGACGCCCCTACTGTTACAGCCTCGCGCCGCGCTCCCACGCTGCAAGCATACGTGCGCACAGCATCATCAATCAAACGCCATACTCCCCCTCTTTACACCGCTACGTACAGCTCTCGCACGCGGCGAGCGTGTGCCCGTCTATAGCCCTGTGCGGCACTCGCCTCCACGTCGAATAACCACGTGACCAATGCGCACCCGTATCCGACACGTAACGAACGTATGCGCACTCACGCACACAGCTCCCCGCGGTACTCACTCACCACTGAATACTCGCGTTATGATCGCGCACTTGTATCACACACGTAGTGAACGCACGCGCACACACGCAGCTCCGCGCAGCGATACCCACTCTCGCGCCGCTCTGCGCAGTGCTCCCACGAGGCGAGCCGCTGTATACGCAGCACTACACGCGTTCACACTGCTCAGCGAGATCACACGAGGCCACGATTAGCTATTAATGATTTATTGTTTGCTACCTGGAACGGGTTGTTGAGTCAGTATGATTCGACGAGGCTGGCCTATTATACTACCCCTGGACCTATTCCCTATTTATCGGCTATAATCCTAATTCACCTTCTTACTCACGGTTCGAAGTATTCGGCGTCCTCTGGCTTTTCCTCGATGCTCGTCTGGACACGTCGCACGGACGTCCGGAGGGCAGAGCTGGGAGCCGACTTGCACGCGGGCCTCTTGAAGCGAAGTGAGATCTCTCTACCTCGTTACACTCCCTTTTATCCTAATTCCCGGACTCAGGCCCCCCCCCCCCCCTTCCCTCATACTCTTCGCTCCTCCTATTGCCATGTGTGGGGCATGTGCTGTTCAATCGCTTTCTTATGCAGGGTGCCTTAGTTATGCACATTATGCGGCGGCGTCCATCACAAAGGCTCGTCGTCAGATGCGCTGCGTGTGTGGCGTGTGTGTATGGTGCGTTTCACTCGCGGTGGCCGAATGGCCCCTCGCTGCGACCTTGCAATCTTAATGCCGGTCGCAGCACCGCGCAGTAGCATCGGGGGAGGTCGTCCAATTCCCTGGTCACCGGAAACCGTGAAAGTTATCCCGATAAGGGTTTCTCGGATTAAAACCGGTCGGCCAGGTGACCTCCCCTCGGAGCTCTATGGGGGGGGGGGGGGGGGGGGATGCGTGCGGGTGTGTTCATGTGAGGTGAGGTGAGGGGGACACAGGGTCGGCTCCGTCGCTTGGTGGTGGCGAGGTCGCAGATGGGGCGCCTGCTGTGAACGGCTTCGTGGCGGCGGCATCGCAAGTTCAGTGTTTAGTTTAGTATAGAGGTTTAGATTGTAGTTTAGATTGTAGTTTAGTGTTTAGTTTAGTGTATAGTTTAGATTGTAATTTAGATTGTAGTTTAGTGTTTAGTTTAGTGTATAGTTTAGATCAGGGGTCGGCAACCAAAATAACAAGAAGAGCCATTTCTTTCCAATTCAGTACAAAATTCAGTATTTCAAGAGCCGCAATGCATCTGAGTACATTACTGTACATACGTACATATCGTCAAGAAGCAGCCCGTAAAGAGCCGCATGCGGCTCCGGAGCCGTAGGTTGCCGACCCCTGGTTTAGATTGTAGTTTAGTGTTTAGTTTAGTGTATAGTTTAGATTGTAGTTTAGATTGTAGTTTAGTGTTTAGTTTAGTGTATAGTTTAGATTGTAGTTTTGTATATAGTTTAGTGTATAGTTTAGTGCAGGGGTCCTCAAACTACGGCCCGCGGGCCACATGCGGCCCGCCGAGGACATTTATCCGGCCCATGGTCACTAATTGGGCTGCGCTGGTGAGCACTAATTGGGCTGCGCTGGTGAGCACTCATTGGGCTGCGGCGGTGGGCACTGATTGAGCTGCGGTGGCGAGCACTGATTGGGCTGCGCTGGTGAGCACTGATTGAGCTGCGGCGGTGGGCACTCATTGGGCTGCGCTGGTGAATGGTTCAATGGGCCAATTGACTGGACTTGCCCCCCAGGCCTAAGGCTGCCAGCCCTCCCCTGGTTCCGCTTGACTGGCTCTCCCTCCCTCAGCTCCCTCATTTGCCCCTCGGCTCCACTCCCAGTGATATTCCTGTGTGCTGGGGATGGACTGCGATCTGTGAGCAAAACTGCAGGTGTAATTAACTTTTTAATGGCACCCGCACCAGTGTGAGCCCGGGGTAAAAGCGGAGTTCCCCCAATCAGACTGCATTGATGGGCAGTGCAGTCTGTATGTCTCTGTGTGGGCAAAGTTATTGCTGGTATATTGTTTTTGTAGCGCTGTACATATATATTGGTATTTTACTAATAGCAATTTTGACTCCCTAGGAAACTGATGTCAAGAAAGAGAAAAATTGACTCGGAGTGTAGGATATTCAAAGAACAGTGGACTTATGATTACTTTTTCATGCAGTACAAGTGAAGTACCCGTCGAGGACGCTTGACAACGGAGTTGAGGCACACGTATATTTATTTAACAAGTTGCCAGTACAGGACAGCCCTAGAGGGGGTAGCGGCCCCCTCACCCGTATAACTCAGGGAACACCCCTAGCTATCCATAGCCTATCCCCTGAGTCCTCCACTAAGAGCTAGGGGAGGCTGTCTGGCCCGACACTGGTAATCGGGCTCGGTACCCGGAGTCCCAGAGCACTGGCTCTGGTTCACGGGACCACGCCACTGGCTCGAGCCTGATCCCGTGGGGCCCTGATAAGGGCGGCGATCAGGGGGAGTCCAGGGCTCTAGCTACGACGTCTTCCGACTTCTTAGCTTAACTATAACATAACTCCTAAGCCCATATAACGACCCCTTTTTATACCCAACCCTCCTTGAGGGGTGGGGCCCCGGGGGATCGTAACGCCGAACCAGCCCCCCCCCAGGGTGTCTGGCTCGGACGTCGCAGAGGGCATCTCCCTGTGCACACACGTAGCCCCGCCCACTG